TTCTTTCTGTAGGCAGCTTCTCATTCTAGTCTAAGTAAGGATTAGAGGTTCAAAATTATAATGCACATCACTAATTGAATTGTTCGTATAGATTTTTCTTTGCTATGCGAAAGATTATATTGCAGTCAGCCAATTTTGTGCAGAACCACCTTTACGGTAAAAACAATTATGTTATGAAACGTTTGCGCAGTTGACTTATGCTTGTAACCAAGTACGGCGTATGGCATTAGTGTCGGCGTTTTTCGGAGACATGGCGTGATGTACAAAGAATTGTTTATTGAGTTTGCGTATATCTCGACATATCGAGTTTATAAAGTGATGAAGGCGCAAATTTATATTAATACAGTGACATCTCTATAAGTGCACGTTCTCGGGACTTGGGTGTGCATTTATAGAACAACGAATAGAAAACCAGAAAACTGTTGACTAGTACTTTCTCTTTATTATCTTATTATCATGGATTTATATGTTATAGAGATGTCACTGTATTAAGTAAGTACATTATACTGTACGACGTAGCACAAGAAAAGTTGAGTACTTTTTTGAGATTTTAATGAAAAATCTTTCCTGCAACGATGTCGGCAGCAATTGAAAATTTGATCCAATCCTCCTTAGCAAGTGAATATAAAAAACTTAAATGGATTTCTTATTCACAAATTACTGACATAAAGGCGAGTCAAACTGACAACGTCTATTACGCTATTCGTAAGGATGGTAAAGTTCATGAAACGATGATAATGCTATTATTTCTTGGAAACGATGAAACATGTACACCGACATCTGTGTGTGAGTTTGCTAAAGTATATTCACTTCCGACACACGAGGATCATGATAACGTTAATCAGTTTAGAAGATATTCCAAATGGCTTAGTTATCGCAACAAAGCCATCCATGGATTTACAAAACATGAAGACAATTACTACATGGTTGCTTATAAACGCTTTCACCATTATTCTCGATACGGATTCTGTTCTGAATGTGGAAGACTCAGATGTAGTCCTGTGTGGTGCATCTGTGGACGTAAAGAATTATCCGATGGATGGACTAGCAGCAATAAGAAACTTGACGAGTTTATTAAGACATCTCAAACACAAGCGAACTCAACAAACGATGCCTATTTGGAATGGATTCCATTCGATTGCATTGAGGTTAAGCGATATATTCATCTCAGATACTTGGGTAGTCTACCTACCACTACTTATTGTGAAGTAAAACTGATTCCACTTGAGATAACAGATGAGACGGATGATGGTTATTATGACAAGGTAAACCAATCAGCTATATAAATGTTAATATTAATATATCATTAGCATTTGTTTAGATATTATTGACTTAATTATAAATTTATAGTTATGTGATGACCATCCAGATATTCTTGCCAAGGATGTTTGGGTCACCATTGGATTTACATATAACGCAAAAGAACAAAAGTATTATCTAATAAAAGAAGTTAATGAGGTTGGATTCTGTTTGGCTTGTACAGCAGCATTTGAACCTAGTATAATTGCTTTCTGCTATGAATGTAAAGCACCGACACCTCTTGGTTGGACTACAGGGAACAAGTCATTGGATTCGTTTATAATGGACTCGTGGAGTAATACGAAGAATCAGTATGATGCATATATACAATGGATTGAATACTCTCAGTTGACAGACGTACAAAAGATGACATTATTACATCATGGATGCACGCATATAGCAGATTGGTTAGAACCAATAGATGAACTGACAGCTAATGAATTGACAAAAGTGATACTTAAAAAGATAGTTGATGGACAGAATGCTCAGTCGTTTGATTTTTGTCAGGTAAATGGTTTTATTATTACGCGTAAGTAACATGATGGTCTTATTGATTTAAAGTGTGCGTTGTTGCTGTTAAACAATGATTGTTGTACTGTTTATCAAATAGCTGGCCAAAGAATATCCGGCGATATTAACACCAGATAATATCTGGATTGTTGGTATTGCTAAAGAGCCATTTACTGAAGCATATTATCTGGTACTCTACTACGATGCACATGCACTATTGGGCAGATTCATACGGATTAATAAAAGTGTAAAGTATATACCATATGCCGACTTTGACAAAATTAATGAGGTTGGATCTGGGGGTTATGGAACAGTTTATACTGCCAGCTGTTCATTAGAAGATATACCAAGACTCGTTGTACTCAAACGCTTTAATAGCTTTGAACAAATGCCGGAATTATTTATTTCCGAGGTAAGCGATCTTTGATATTATTAACCAGTTAGAATGTTTAATCTGACTCTGTATTTAGTTCAGAAATCATGCCAAGTGTTCGCGTAACAGTAATAGTCATACGTTTCTTAAAGTTTATGGGGTCACTCAACTACCCACCACGAAAGAGTACATGATTATTATGAAATATGCTAAGAACGGTAATCTTTTGTCTTATTTGGATCAAAATATCAACAAATTGACGTGGAGAAAGAAATTGTGGCGTTTGGCCGATATTGCAAATCATTTGAGTGATATTCATAAAGCGGGACTAGTGCATTGTGATCTTCATGGTGGAAACATAGTTTTGAATGATGATGAAGAAATTACGACAGAACAAGATTTTGGATCAGTGGAATCATACATATGCGATCTTGGTCTCTCTCGATCGGTAAAGTCACACGAGTCGAATTCAGCGATTCAAGGTGTCTTACCTTTTATTGCACCAGAAGTCTTCCATACTTGCAAATTTACTCAGGAATCAGATATATATTCCTTTGGCATTATAATGTATTTGATTGCTACTGGCGAACCACCTTTTAGAGATAGACCATTCGATAGAGATTTAGTACACGATGTTATGGGTGGACTGCGACCATCGATGCCTGATTCAGCACCAGAGGAATATAAAAAGCTTGCAGCGATGTGTTGTGATGCAGATCCTGAGAAGCGTCCAGATATACTGAAGGTTATCGACATTATTTTTAAGACAACTGTCGATTACTTTGGCAAAGATAGCGGGTGGAATACCATTTATCATAATGATATAAAGCCCCTATCGCGTTTTGAGAAAGAGAGCAAATATTCTAGTAGGTTCTTACCTACTGGAGATTTGCCCAAACCGAGAAACGGGCACCATCATAGGTAGTAAGACAAGAATTGATTACACGTTGATACGTGTATTATCATAGAGTTAGTTGACAACATTATCATTTTTGTTTTCCTATAATGTAGCGATTCAAAATCTCGAATTCATAGACGAGTTTGTTCAAAGGTTTACTTCTCTTCCAATTAAATAGGATATGCTTAACAGTTATCTGTTTCAATAACTAGTATAAATACAAGTCTAATAATAAAATCATGACAAGTTTTGTCTGCGAAGAAATAAAATTGTGCACTAATGGAATGGGCAGCGGTTTTTGATTTTCTTGGATCGCACGTACCAATAAACATAAAGGACGTTTACCATTTGTCAGTTATAATCATCACAAGTTTGGAATATTATGTGTGATATTAGAAAGTTTCTATTCGAACACAATTTATACGTTAATTCAAACTACACTATTTAATACGACTATATACTGTATTATCAATTTTAAAACAAATTTTGAACTCTGGATACGACGAGTAAAACTCACATCGAATACTTTATTGTTTATCGTGCTATTGTGCTTTACAGTACTCACGAGAGAAATAAGACATAGACAGAACAATAGAACGTTTCGGAAGAAAGCTTTGGTATTATACAAAAAATTTGCAAAGCGTAAAAGTAAAGCGTGGCTTCAGAAAAGATAATAATAAATCAAGTAGTGAAGGTTTGAAAAGACTGTCATATACAATGATTAGCAACTGATGCTTATGAATATCTTTCGCATAATAAATCTGTTTTTTGTCTATTTTTGTTTCAACTAATATCATAGATAATGTTAGCACTAGTCAAAAAAAAGGTATACTGTCTATACGAAAGATAATATTTAAAATGATGGTTGATGGAACACTCAGTCGTTTGGTTTTTACCAGGGACGCGCGTAAGTAACATAATTGATTTAAAGTGTGCGTTAATGATTGTTGTAATTGCTGTATTGTTTATTAACAGTTAAATAGCTGACTAAGAATACCCGGCGATATTAACACCAGATAAATTGGCATTGCTTATATCATTAATTTGTTAGAGCGCTACTTAGTCGGACCCTGTATTTATTTTTATACAAGATTCAGAAATTACGTCAAGGGCACGAGAATTTATTCGTATACGAGTCAAATTCAGCATTCATACGTGCAATTTACTCAAAAATCAGACATTTCTTGTTGCCATGGTGAACCACATATGGATGACACCACGGATGCCCATCAAGCGCCCGGATATAAACAGACTGTGTACGTGTACTTTAATTTTGAAACGCTAAACAGTGAATCTTCATAATGATGCAAGACCTCGAGAAAGAGAGTAAATACTCCTACTGGAATTTGTTAACACCAAGAAACAGTCATTGGATGTTCAATTCAATTTCAGGCATTAAGACAAGAATATATATACTGCATACTGACGTTAAAATACAGTTACAGTAGTTTACAATATCGACGCTATCCATTATCTATACTAAAATTTCGGTTGAATTGATGAGTTTCCTATCTGCAAAGTAAAATAAATTGATGCGTCTACAGATTTTTTGTAATTGATATTATTAACCGTATAAATCGTCGTACATGTTTAAAAGTTGGACATGTAGCGGTTTTTTTTCTGCTAATCGGTTACACTCTTTAGATTAACAGCGATCAACAAATAGAATACTTTAATGTCATTTAATTAATAATACCCGTTTTGTGAGAACTTCACATAGCGTATTTCAACGTTTGTCTTGCCCACATCTGTGTTTAGTCAATAAGCATAGTATGGATGTGACGTATTTGATGTCAAAATGAGGGTCATTACTTTTATACTAATGCACAGTTAAAACTCCTTCGTACATAAAACGCAAGGGCCTTTACCCTCGCTTTAGATAGTCTTTTTCACCTGGGCAAGCACATGTTGCTGTCCAGGATGGAATCAAATCCAGATACAAAGCATCCAGAAGTAATTCGGGAATATGAAACGACTAGAACGCATGACATTAGAGATCAGTCGATCCCTATTAATAGTCCTTCGTCTATAGTAATGTGACACCATATAATAATAAAACTCCATCTCTAACCCAATTTAAGATAAGACATGTAGATCAAACTCGCATGTGCGTGTTACAATTGGATGTAACACAATCAATATATATCACTTCCGATGAGAATGCACGTGTAGAACTTCAACAATGACATGAAGGCGAATTTTTCAAAGACTTTGTAAACGAGGTTTGTAACCATGCATGGCAGAACTGCTGCTAAGTCTCTGAACTGTGGTTCTTATATATTATTTGTTTCATATCCTAGCTCAAGATCCATCGTAGTGTAGATGACCATCCCAACATAATTCGATTTCTTGGCATTAGCAAAGGTAACGGTGAAAAGATTCAACGTGTTAGGAAATAGGCATGAATATAATACTTTTCGACTTTTTAATAGATATCGGAGGAAGATACTTGATGGTCTTCGATTATGCCGACAATGGTTCATTACGGAAATACTTATCGACGCCAGCTATCAAACTAGATTGGTCTGACAACTGTCAACTGGGTTTGGATATCATTAACGGATTGAGACATATTCATAGAGTAGGAATCTTGCATAAAGATTTAGTAAGTGTATTCTTATCATTATTAATACAATTTTATTTAATATTAACGTAGATTATTCATTGATATATTGCTTTCTTGTGTTTCAAAAGTCGTCAAACAATGTATTGATTCATGAAAAAACGGCCAAGATATCGGATTTTGGGACATCTGAAAAAATATTACTACAAAAGACCAGCTCAGACCACCGAGGAACTTCTGCATACCTTGACCCTAAATGCTTTAATGACAATAATAGTAGACGAGATGAGAAATCTGATATTTTTAGCTTTGGGATTGTTCTATGGGAAATCTCCAGCAGAGAATATCCATGCAGGGAATTTAAAGACGCATTCGACATTCGGATCTACAGGCTGAGCGGTGGTCGTCATGAAGTAGTTCCAGGCACCCCAGGGGAGTATAAAAATTTATATATGGAATGCTGGGATAATGATTCAGAAAAACGACCAACTAGTGAACAATGTTATAATGGATTAAAAAATGTAATGAGTAACCTGAACCAATTACCAAAATGTGATGGTAACCAATATGAAGAGAAAATGCAAATGCAAACAGCACAGGCGCTGCAATCACAACAATCACAACAATCACAACAATCACAACGATCACAATAATCACAGATTCAAACTTCACAAGTGCAATCAACTCCTCAACACGCACAGCTGGGGTTGCAGCGAACTCCGCAACAGATGGGAACTCCTCCGCAATCTCGTGCACAAGGACAACCTCAGATACAATCACGACCTGTCTTGCGTCCGCCCTTACAAGCTCAACAAACATCGGCACAACCTGTTGGGCAGCCGCAAGTGACGCAACAATATCACCGTCAAATACAAGCAAATCCGCAGTCAACTCGGTTGCGAAGGCTTATACAGATAGCTAGAGGCCAGGGAATCCAGGATTCACAGATTCGCGATCAGATATTATTGCAACAGCAGCAGCAACAGCAGCAACAGCAACAACCGAATACGTCCATCAGACTGCCGCATCAATTGTTGCATCAGGGTTTATCTCTTCAATTACGCCCTCAGGCATTATCTAACGGGCGGGGGCAGTCGATTGACGGAAATAGATTGGTATCTAATATGGGTAAGACAAAAGGAGATAGATAATTAAGACGAAAACTTTGCTGTCTGTTATGACATACGTGGTATATGCTTTTATAGAGTTGTTTCAACAATTAATTCGAAACCAGCAACAAAACCAACAGCCGCAACAACAGCCCGCATAACCAAGAAGATACCGATAATCATAAACGATAGGTTGATCATATGCATCTGTCGTCAAATAATAATAAATAAATTTATATACATAATCAAACTCGATAAAATAAAGTCACTTTAAGATAAAATTGCTCCAAGATAAAGAATTTTTCTGCCAAGAATTTTTTGTATTAAAAATACCTCCATAATGTAAAATTATTATAAACCTCGATAAAACTGTAAGATAAAGAGAATTCTCTCACGCTTCTAACAAATAAATCTCCATAAGTCGAATTCCATTCCTGATTCGGAAACCATGAATACCACTGCCCCAGTAGTAAAACTTTCAATTAGTCCTGTCAAGTAATTGCAAACAGTCTTATCCACCAATAGTAGCAATTTGTGTCGACGCCGCAGTATACCAAACCTCTGTAGCTTACGTTATCGAGTTTGACTATGTATTAATTTAATACCAATACTAATGACACAGATGGCGTATTACAAGTGTATCAAAATAACAGCTGTCGCGTCATATGATTTTTTAATGCGGCACTAACATAATTGTAATTAATTTATCGCAGTTTTCTACAAAAACTATCATACAGGGCCGATAGAATGAACAATATTTTGTTGCCTTTTGGCCGTCAATAAAACATAGTCGGCTGAAAGCTTCTCTCAATTCACAAGCAAGCAACACATCTTGTAACTGGTGTTCGATGACATCCTTACAGCTTTGCAATTTCTGCATTATCGTGGCCTAATTTTAGCCGCAATACTACTTCTCTTTTATGTAGAAGTTAAATTTTTAGCAAGTCATTATGCAAAAAATCAAAAAATGTAAACGGTTTTTACAATCTATAACAGATTCGCTGGTTAATATATAGGCGGATATAGTATAAAAATTACATCGGTAATTACATATTGACAATTTTATTAAATGAATTGAATTTCGACTGTGCAATACTTTCGGTACTCCCGTAAATGATGAGTATTATTTAATTAGAAATGACACTTTTCGTATAATTTCCACGTGTCTACCCGAGATAATATGAATACTGGTTTATTGGAACTGACTCAATTTTCGAACGTGTCTGTCTGATATGATTAATGATATAAGTATTCGTTTAATAGGAATGACACTTTCCGTATAACTTTCAAAAGTGTCCCACTTTAACAAAAGCTTCGTTCCACTGATTTGTTGTTCTCCCCGTATGTTAATAGTACAAGTGCCTCTTGTTATAACGAATAAATCGACAATCATAAGAAAATCTGGATTTACCGACACAAAGACATAAAAGCAGGGATTTTACCGACGGCTGTACAATCCCGAAAGGTCGTACAGCCCATAATATTTCCTTCTCAATAGTATTTTCTTCTTTGTGGTGTTTGTACAAGCCATTAGAAAACGACTGTCGTTATAAGATCTACCAAGTATATTCTATTCTTCGAATTTTAGATATCATGCTTTGTAATCGCGTATGTGTTTGCTGGCTTAAATTACTCGTAAATATTTATATATGACAAACTGATGAATTACTCGTATACATCCTAGTTGCCGGATAACCCAACATCTAACGACGCTTTTTTCATTGCCCGAGAGTGTCGTTATAACCAGAGGCACCTGTACTATTATACCGCACTTCGTTATGTACCATCATTTCGATATGTTATACCAAATTTGGGAAAATTCGCTCACTGAGATTACAGATTTCGAAATTATTCGTTATATCGCTATATATACAGCAAATAACTCGTTCCAGAAAATAACGATCATAAATTCCGTTGTCAAAATATTCCATTCGCATTTCATGTCCGTTCGACTGAATTATCACTAGTTTATAAGATATTGAAATAAAAAGCACATTTCACAGTCCTTCATTTTAAGTGCCTAAAAATCAGATTATCTACGCGACTCACGCGAGAACGCAACTTTGCATAACTGAGAAAACGTCACTCGACAGGATTCGATTGACCGGTCAATATTAACTTATTCCATTGTTTCAACAATTATAGAATTTGCTATATATAATTTGGAATGTTGATTGTGGAACTTTTTTTTACTACATATTATACAAAATGTAACGATTAACAATAAAGAATGAAGTCCTACACATACAAATGTTAAGAACAGAGTAATATACATTGATAATGGAACTCAACCTAATATACAATAACAAAATTGATTTTTTATACCAAAACATTTCGTATCTTTCCATGGTATTACACATAATACATGGGATATTTCTGAGCAAACTCAGATTTGGTCATCTTAAACTGGCCGTCAAGAGAATGAGATCGCGCCCTTTTTGCTGCATAATGCGCATAATAAGCCGGTGCAGGAATAGCAACTGCTCTGGTCGCCCGTTGAAAGTTATAACAGAGTTTGTTCGTAAAGTCCTGAAGTTCATCTACTTCAAATTGATTTTCATCATACAGGACGTAATATAGACTTGGACGCGATGTCCCTTGAGTACTAGAGTGAGAGGTGAGGTAGAAATTAAAAAGATAGGGATGCGTAATTACTCGCTCGACAACTAGACCGGGTTTCACGTTTCCTCTTTTGTCGGCATCTTGTTTGTCTATAGGATAGAATCGGTTGGTGTGTCTCTTGGTGACAACAATATATGAGATTTTTGGTTTATATTCGGGATTCAGTCTAGCGCAGGCCTTTTTGATATTAGTAAGTTCCTTATCCAATGCCAGCGGTTTGAACTGACTTTCGCTAATACCGTCTCTGTACACGATGATGCTCGCGGGCGGTCCCTTGTTTGTTCGTACGAATTCACGCAAGAGCTGGTACGTCAGTTCTTCCATATCATAGATTTCGTCTCCCCTAAGCTGTTCCATATGTCTCTCGGCGTACCGGGCAGCATATCTATCGATAGATCCAACTACTGCTGCGATTGTTGGAAAAGCAGTTGTTCCCGGCGGAGGATGAGTAACGTCTGCGCCCATGACCATGGTTCGTTGGTCATCGATTCGTGGGAGACTAACAGCAGAATTGGTCCCGTTGAGTTTCAAATTTAGTTTTGCAGTAATATTCGCAAGATAGTGTGTATTGCAGCGTTTAACAAGCTGTGATTGTACACATTGAGACAAAATACCAATATGAGTATCCATGACTTCTTTGACAAGATTGTATTGCTTTTTATTCATGTGATGTTTACCATGGTCGATAAAGAATACGACCAATTGTAGGTTTTTTGCTGCCTTCTTGGCGTCCTCTACCGCGTTGACAATCTCATCGCGAGCTTGTTCAACTTGCCACTGAATGTACTTGGGTGGCATAAAATCACCAGTAATGTCCATGCCTTGAGTTCTAGCTTGTCGGACTAGATCATTCATAAACGTATTAATGTTATCTGGAGAAACGGCTTGTGTTAATGAAATAGCAATCCATTCTTTTAGAGTATCGCCAGGGTGAAGGTATTTCACGTCACGGAGATTCCAAGTTGCATCCCAATCTTTTGGTTTAACTTGTGCGCAATGTTTAGATGAAGCAGAGTATGAAACTTCTGGAATGTTTATGAAGCGGCCGGGTACATTAGCCATTTGTGTATTGAGTCTGATTCCGGCATGCTGGAGTAGTTCGTCGCTAAATGATAACACGTCACGGACACTGTTTAGCATAAATTGTACGTTTTCCGCAGGACGTTTAGAAGTAATCCTGCTTATTTCAGCACGTTGGTTGCTATTTAGTTGCTTGCAATTATAATAGCGTTGTCCCTACAATTGAGTGGAAATAGTAGAAATATTCTTGTCTTCAATGGGTTCAATTCACTGGAATGCAGCATTTAATCTCCACTATTACGATTTACGGTTAAGCCTATTACCTCAACGACGCTGAGGCATTCAATAGGACATTTGAGTCTTCTACCCTCTGCGACATATGGTGTAGTAAGATTTATGTTGTGTTTACGTGCGAAATAATCCTTCATACTCTCTTCCCTCCCAAGTTCTGGATTGACAAACATGATTTCGGCCGCAGGTAGATCACTTAACCTTTCGATAGTCATTTCGACCTGAGATTCTGGACGATGCAGTAATTTAAATTTGACGTATCGGAAATTGTGTTGGAAAGCCCTGTTTAGACGTGAAGTTATGTCGCGTCTGAATAAGTTCGGTAAAGTCTGTGTGTCAAGAAACTTGCAAATTAACTTGCATAGATCGATCGGCTCGACAATGGGGGTATAAGTCACATTCACGTTCAGAAATAACTTCCTTCCTAATAATACAGAAAAGTAAACAAACATTTTCGCAAGAATTATTTATCACCACCAATTTACCTCTTCCGTCTCCTTCTCCTGGACGAACATGAAGGCCATATCCTTGTAACATCGCTGCACCTTTTCCGAGTAATCTTATCGTTTCAGGTACGTAGAAATAATTTCCAAAAAACTGAATAAGTTTAAGACAAGGATTGTATTGTAGAAATGCACCTAAAGCATTCAACATGCGATTGTTGAAGAGGCCCGACTCAAATGTATCTCCTGTCAAGACTCCTTTAAGATCGTCCATTGAGATTGTTGGTTTGTCAGTGTTTTCTCTGATTTTTACATAGTACTTGCCATCATTTTCAACCTCGACAGGTTGGCTTATTTGATTATTGCTGTCGAGCGTAAGTTTACCAGTTGTGAAAAGGCTGGAATCTCCGTCGAATGCTACGCCCTCCACACCAGAAAAGTAAACCTCTTTATTTTTTTTATGGAAGGCGGCGAAGATATGTCGACCATGTTTTCGGCCAGAACTACCAATAGTTACTAACGTAGCAGGTACACCCGCAGAGGTATAGCGTCTAATTTCTATTACATACTGGTGAAACGTCATGTCCTTTGTTTCGATTTCGAACATATTTGCTAATATTTTAGTCTGGCGGTCTCTGGAACCTGTCCTCCCTTCGTCGCCATAACCAGGACGTTTGTAAAGTGTGAGTTCTGATGTCATGGCAAGAGCTCTCCCTAAATGCACTCTCCCTGCACACACTCTCTAAATGCACCCTGATAGTCCCACCTCGCTAAATGCTATATGAAAGTACCTAGTCTCCGTAAATGCATGCATGTGATTTTGTACAACAAATGATAATTACCATTACACAAGATATCTAAAGATCATACAAAGAGTGTGATTTGTAATACAGTCATCCCCCTCTACAGTCACACCTTCGGTTCCACTGAAACCAGTGACTGTAAAGAGGGTGTGACTGTAGAGGAGGCCCTCTATATAATCTCAATATACATACAATTTATTGTTATTAATTGGCAAGAATATTGTAAAATTTACCAAACAATTTGATATTCATTTTATTTATTCAGTTAAAGTCAATTTATGACCATATACATAAAGAGATTAACTTATTCCCTAATAAAAGAGTCAAGCGTTGACTGCACTTTAGTCTTTTCCACCAATAGTTCAAGTATTGGTCATTTTATTTTATCATTCTCGAGTTTCACCCAATTATTTTATTTATATCATGTGATGTGACTATAAGGAGGTATATGTCTACTATTTATCGGTTCCTCCGTTCCTCGGTTCCGTAAAAAGGTGTGACTGTAACCCAATTGTGCTTATAGAGGGGGTGACTGTAGAGAGGGACGACTGTACTTACATATTGCATTGTCTTATTGGTTACACTTTGAAAGAAATTCGTGAATCATTCCTTCGTTTAATATTAGCAAGAAGATTCTTAAACATGTTAATGCTCTTGATTACTAAATCGGTTTCAAGTTGGCGAATGCAAAGAAACAAACAACCATAGACAATTTTTTTAGCAAAATAGTAAACAGGTATTTAATGTTGTCTTTCATTATTATGAATAAATAAAATATATCTTGCCCTCGATAGTCATGTGGTCTTTATCATGTGATGCTCGACGCATTTGAAGTAAAAACGAAATTGCTAGTTATCGGACTGTTTCTCGTCGTGAAATTGGCCATAATGTTTACTATATATTTAACACATATCGCGGCAACACTGCCAGTGCCTTTTATTATTTTAACATTACATTTAATTGTCCTAATTGGGATGTTAGTTTTTTTATAAATTTCTAGAGAAGATCGTATCCCTTGATTCCAGAAATGTAAAATAACTTGAGGTGCACGTAAACAAGGAAGCGGTCGTCCTAAAAAAATCGCTGCCAGTGCGTCCAAGGCCATCGGTCAATATTTGAGGCGAGATCCAACTGCTTCATCTCGAAAGATGGTGCCTAAATTGGCTAAAAAAATTTTGAACTATCGTATAGAACGATTTCAAGACATTTGGAAGGCCTGGGCTATAAGAATAATGCGCCTGTGGCTACCCCAGTGCTTGCCGATAATCATAAACAAATACGAATTAAATGGGCTTATGCTCAAATTAATGATAACTGGCAGAAAACCCTTTTTACGGATGAAACTGCATTTCAGTTATTTCGGAATACCGTAGCGCAATGGTATAAAGGCGCCCGACCGGTCCGTCGTATCCCAAAAAATCGTGTCAAAATTTTTGCTTGGGGTGAATTTCGCGCGAAGGACAAAACAAGCCTTTATTGCTTTCAAGGCATAATGACAGGGCCAATCTACGTTGAAATTCTTCAGAGGCACCTACCTGAAATACGACAAATGCTCGGAAGAGTCGGCGCTTCCAACAAGACAACGATCCGAAGCATACGAGCTCTGTCGCTAAACAATTTCTTCAGGCCAATATGCCCATAGTTATTGAGTGGCTATCGAATAGTCCCGATCTCAACCCAATAGAAAATCTATAGAGCATAGTTAAAACTATGTAGAAAGGCGAAGACCAACAAATCTTGATAAATTAAGGCGGTTTATGGTAGAAGAGTGGGATAGTATTCCGGATTCAATTGTAAAAATTTGGTAAACTCGATGAAAAGACGTTGTGAGGCAATTATTGAAAGTGATGGTGAACAAATTCTTTTTTAATTTTTATAGATAAAATCTGTGTGTTTTACAGTTTTAATGAGGTACAGTGAACCCTCCATAAATGCACGGTACTTCTCATTCCCGAGCTTGGGAATTAGACGTAAATGTGCACCCTCCATATTCTACACTGCACGGTCTTTTCGAATCCCCACCATAGTAAACCTCCCTCTCTAAATGCACGCCCATGACTTCACGTGATATCGATAGTGTTACATTAAGAAATTACACACAAAATCTGTACCCGCTGATTATAAACAAAGACCAAATAAAGAAATTACTGTGCCCGATTATAGACAAAGACCAAATAAAGAAATTACTGTGCCCCGATTATAGACAAAGACCAATAAAGAAATTACTGTGTCTCGATAATAGAAAAAGGAAGAAAACGACATAAAATACGTTTTATTATTAGAAGCTGGGATGAAATCACACCAGAAACAATCCGAAACTGTTGAAATTATACGAAAATTCTTCCAACTACAACTACCGCCACCGACTTTGATACAACCAATACGCCAATGCTAGGAGAGCTCTCTCTGATACTTACATCTCTCAACCTTTCTGATACTATGTCAATTGAAGAATTTTTGATTAACCCGGAAGAAGACGAAGTTTATGTAGTTCTTGACAATGAAAACATTCAGATTTACCTACCGATAGCAATAACAAAGAAGCCGATGACAGTATTGAGCCCAAAATAATTAGTGTTAACGAGGCTTTAAAAAGCTTAGAAATAGTCCATAATTTCTACAACAACAAAACAATGCTGAGGAACTATTCAAATATGTCAAAGCTCTTGACAAATACACTACGATGGATCAATTTTTAAATAATAAATAACCATTGATATTTACTTATTTCCTAATTTCACGTAAAATCAATCAAATTCTTACTCTCCATAAATGCACGCTTTCCTCCATTTCCAAGGGCGTGCATTTATGGAGGGTCTACTGTATTTTGAGTCCCAATTTATTTGCTCATTGTAAAGTTATTGTAATTTTACCGAGGGCAAGATTTTTTGTCCCATACTGTATATCACGTGCAACCAATAAAATGCTGACTCTCCATACCCTCCATATATGCTCATTTCCAAGCGTGTGCATATATGGAGGGTCGACTATAGTTAGAAGTTAGAAATTCGGCGAATCAAAATATTTAATATTCCCGGGTTATAATAATTGCTACCGCTACAACAACATATTATGTTTATTATAAAATTTGACTTTAGCATGCAAACTATTTTCTGATGTCAAGTTGTACTCGAATAGAATAAAAATATGAATTTGTAGTAACATTGTCTTTTAACATCAGGTCATGTATTTATTCAGACATCAATATAGCATCTGATGCCTCGTAATATAATGCAATTTTGTAGTAACGTTGTCTAACAGCTATCAGTGCCAGAACAGCGTTGAAAGTTTAGAAATTGTACAAGCATTTTAATTCAACAAGAAAATGCAAGTGAACACATAAAATTCTCGAGAGATTTATTATTAGAGATAGAAAAGCATCGAACGATATTTTAACCAATAAGAGAATGCAACGAAAATAAATAATATTTATCAGGATCACGTGAATTTGAATATACTTCCTAAATGCACGCTCTCACACTTTTCGGTCCCAAGAACGTGCATTTTATCGATGTGCTGAAATTTAAGGTATAGATTAGTTATGCCACAAAAAAGTGGAAGTCCCGTGACTTCCGAATGATCTCCGACGCAGAGGTTTTCCGGAATCGACACATATGGATATATTCGTGCTACATCCTCAAATTCTGGG